GAAATAAATGAAAGTAAAACAAAAATGTAGTAGGGATATAAGGCAAAGGTGTATGTTTTGAGCGCGGCGCTGTACAGGTGCGAAACATGGACGGTGGGCGCAGCGGAAAAGAAAAGGTTAGAAGCTTTCGAAATGTGGTGTTACAGGCGAATTATGAGGATACCGTGGATAGAGAAGGTTAGAAATGGAGAGATATTAGAAAGAATAGGAGAATAGGGGACTCTATGGAAGTCAATAAAAAATAAGCTAAGATAGGTCAGTAGGACACCTTCTCAGGCATAAAGGGTCTGTCAGAGATATATTAGAGGCAGAAAAAGGATTTAAAAGGAGTAGGGCCTAAATTAGATTACTGTTGGCAAATAGTTAAGGATGTGGGCTGTTCTAGTTTTATGGAATGAAATGAATACTAGCTCAGAATAGGAAGGAATGGAGGTGCGTGTCCAACCAGTCTTAGGACTGATGATCTTATGATGATGAAGAAACGCCATTAGTAATCAATTATCCTTTTTGAGAAAGTTTAACTAACATTAATTGATTCGACAATTTTTTTTGGCCTGTACAAGAATAGATTATATAGAAGATTCTCTCTATTTTTTGCATTCTATTCTATTCGACCTCTTGATGCGCTTTGATCGTCACCTTCTCCATTATTTGTTTTACAATTCTTTTAATTCTTCCTGCTCAAATAGTCTTGAAGAAATCGTGAATTTGATTATAAGATAATGTCATGCAATTTTGGACCGAGACTGGTCTTTAGATTATTTCAGATACATACTGGTAATCACGTTGATTTTTGTTTTTTAAATTGTTCCTTCTTATGGACAGTCATAATTTTGACATTTTGGGCAGTATGATGCTCGAAAATCTTATATGCAATTTGTTTAACCCAAAATATTTTTAGCGAGAAACTTCAATTGTTTGGAACTATTTTGCTCTAATATTTTCTAATAAATTTAGGATGTGTTACTAGTAGTAGATGAAATAACATTGTGTAAGAATTTCAGAATATGAGTAAACATACAAAAATAAATGTAAATAGGCTAACCTTGGTGATGAGTTATCACATTTTTGTTGGTGTCAGTTACGGTTGAGTCTAAAACAGTGCAATTACCATGGATGAAAATAATTGATAAAATTTGTAGTAAAAATTATTCTTTACATTATATAAACGTGTGATAACAAGTAAAGCATCGTAATACTAGATGAAGTAAGTTGACGATAGTAAATGACATTATTAGGAAAATTATTAAGGTTTATCAAAGATGCTTCTGTGTTCGTTTATTTTAGTTTTTAGATATCCTTTAGTTTGTCCGCATATGAACTATTACAGTTGTGTTTGTTTCTTCTTGATTTACCCACTAACCACAAACCAGGGGTTGCAGGCCTTCACCACTACCAAAACATCAAATTATTTATATTTTTTTTGCGCCTGGTATTTTCAATACGGCCTAGATAGCTGTTGATATGTGAGGTCTTTATCTACGTAATATTTCTGTAATTAGCAGTGGTTTTTAAGTACTTGATAAGCTTTCTCAGAACAATTTTACATTTGCGTTTTCGAAAACACTACAAATGGCGCAGTAAACGCCATCTATAGCACGATGCTACTATTTAGGATTACGTATGCTCCAACAAGGTCCACTTGTGTGGATATCTACTTGCTGAAAACGAATTCCGGCATAGCCAACCTCAACGTGATAGGCACGTTAGCTTAATCGAATAAAATAATTCGAAGTGGTCTGTATTCTGTCGAAACTGCCAGACGCGGATCGCGATTTCGATCTTTTTGGATCTCATCAG